CGATCCTCCATGGACTCTCACGCCGCACACCACAGCAAGGAATCTTCTTAGGGGGAGCGATCTAAGGACTAAGCCAACAGTGACGCACACGTCAGGCCTGCCCAACTTTCGGCCAGTCTGGCGGCTGTACTCGTGGCAGACGTCGCTGCTCGGCGCGGCGCTCACCGCCGGTGCGCGAGAGAAGCGAGGAGAGAGACTGTTTCGCCCAACCACCCCCGGGCCTGAGCCCCGCCCCGCCACCGCTCTCCAAGGCTCGATGTTCTTCCTCAACCCGCTCTTCGCCCTCCTCACCCTCGCCCTCGCCCTCGCCCTCGGCGTCTACATCTCCGCCACCGTCCCGTCCGGCCGATGGCCCTCCATCTCGCAAGCCGTCGCCTTCCTCACCGCGCGCTCCTGCCTGCTCACGCTCGACGCGCAGCCGGCGGACCCGAAGTACTGGCGGCCCAGCTTGCTGCTCCTCGTGCCCCCGTCGCAGGCGGCCGGACCGCAGCCCACGGCCGGCGGCGCGTCGCTCCTGCTCCGGCTCGCCCACCGCCTCAGCGGCTCCGGGCTCGTTGTCGGCGGGCGCACCCTCCCCCTCGCCGCAATCGGCGGAGGAGGAGGCGGAGGCGGAGGCGGAGGCCTCGAGACGCTCGGTGCGGCGAGCGCGGCCCTGCGCGCGCAGCTTGCCGCCGCGCGCCGCGCGTGCGGGCTGCGCGCCTTTGAGCAGATCAGCGTCTCGCCGACCGCCCGGCTGGGGGTGCTCAACTTGCTGCTGGGCGCCGGCGTCGGCGCGATGCGCGTCGATACGCTCGTCGCGCCGCTGCCCGCGGCGGCCGCGCGCGACGCGGCGCCGAGTGGCTCCGAGGGGGCGGGGGAGGAGCTGGCGGGGGAGGAGCTGGTGGGCGCTCTCGGAGACGCGCTGGAGCTGCGCAGGCACGTCTTGCTTCTGGGGGGAGGGGCGGCGGCGGGAGAGGAGCCGGTCGGCCGCGCCGCAGGGGGGTCGGTCGACGTGTGGCTCTTTGGCGCGCCGCCGGGGTACAGCGAGTGTGGAGAGGCGGTGGCGCCCCATGCTGGCGTCGCCGAGGCCGTGGCGCACCTCGACCTCTCCGCACAGTTCGGCGCCATCGCGGCCTCCGCCTCCGAGCAGCGCGGTGAGAGCGCTGGGCCCTCTCCCTCTCGGGCTGCTCTTGCGCCGCAACGGCTCAGCCTGGGGCGCTGCCCCCGTAGGCTCTCTCGCCGGCGCGCTCCGACGCGCCCTCTTCTCGTCGCGACCCGACCCGCCCGAAGCGCGCAGCGGCGCCGCCGACGCCGAGATGGGGCCGGCACCGCCCCCGACAGAGGCCAGGGAGGGCTGCGGCTCTTCGTCGCGGACGCCGCGCCTGCGAGTGCTGCAGCTCTGCCACAGGGGTGAGCTCAAGACGCCCGCCGCCGCCGCGCACGCCGCCGCCGTCCGCGCGTGGCTCAAGCGAGCGCGATTGCAGGCCGAGCTGGTGCAGGTCGAGGCGGAGCTCCCTGCGGCGGCGGCCGAGGTGGAGCCATCCTACCCGCCGCGATGGCCCTTTGCGGGACACGCCCTCGGCCCGGTCAACGCCGAGCTCCGGCGGCACTCTGCCGCCTCGTCGCTCGTGCTGCTGCCGCTGCCGCCGCCGCCGCCGCCGATCTCTCCCGGCGGCCACGCCGACGGGGCTCTGGGCTACCTCGAGGCGCTCCGCACGCTCGCGCGTGGGCTGCCGCCGACGGCATTCGCGCGCTCAAACGGCAGTTCGGTCATCACGACCGAAATCTGAACTCGAGTGACGTGTACATTTATTGGGACCTATAAACAATCACGAGGAAAGGGCTAGCCTTAGGCAGAATGGCAGATAGGGACTACTCAACCCGTGCCGCGCACCGGACACCTCGGACACCCGCTCACACACGTCGGCATTATAGTGGCAACCTCCATCACATGCTCCTGCTCGTACCAGAGTGCATCATCCAACCGGGCGCTCGAAGATCAGGACGATCTCATCGGCGTACGACCCGTCGTTGGTGACGAGGGCAGCCACCACCTGGTCGAAGGAGTTCTCCAGCCGCCTCTCCATGCACTTGCACACGTCGAACATCGACGGCTCTGGCCCGTTCCACTTGAGAGTGAAGCGAAGGATGTCGCCTACCCGCTCGCCGCCGTCGGTCTTGCCGTCCTTGGTGACCGCGACAACGCGCCCCTCTCCGCCGACAGCTCCAGTGGGAGCTCATTCCGCACAACGACAAGCTCGCTGTCGGTGGCCAGCAGCGGCTTAAAGTTCATATTCACGGTCCCATACTCAGAGATACCCTTCTTGGGAATCTCAAAGGAGCACGCAAAGTTCGCTCTTGTCGACTCCATCACGTTGGGGTCAGCAGCGCGAGTCTGGGGGAAGTCATCCATTGACGGAGAGCGTGCCCGGCGGAGCGGCTGTGCCGAGGGCAGCACAGACTGCGGCGGCAGCAAGCTGAGCGCGAGGAGGTTTATCGCTGCGGCCGCGAGCATATCTCGGGACGTGTGGTGTGGCTGCTGTGGTTGCTACCGTGTCCGTGTACTTTCCTTTCACGTAAATAAATAAATAAAACGGACACCTCTACTAAGGTCCCCGCCCTGCGGTCTTTGTGCAGGGTTCCTTTCACGTAAACGCACAACCCCGGGCCCGAAATCTTTCACAGCTGGCGAGTGGGGGCAAGAAAGAATTTCTCGGAAGAAAATGACCGTGTTATTCTCCGCTGCCCGCCTTGCTTCCTACCCGTCCAAATCGCTGTCCTCTCCGTCGCTGTTGTCCTCTCCGTCAGTGGAAGCAGGCGTGGGCGGCCGGCTCGCCCACGCCTCGATTTTCTTGGGCAGCAGCTGGTCTGACAGGTCCTCTCCGTGGCCTAGGCAGCCGTCCTCGTCCTTGCCCCACGTGAAGACAGCGCCATCGGCGGTGCAGGCGGTGTTGTGCATGTCTCCAGCCGACATAGCGACGATGCGCTGGCCAGCCAAGGCCTCGATCTTCTTCGGCAGCGGCTTGTCCTGCTCGTCGCCGTGGCCCAACCGGCCCCAGAGTCCACTGCCCCAACTCCAAACGGCGCCGTCGGCGGCGAGGGCGAAGCTGTAGCTATATCCAGCCGACACAGCGACGACGCGCTGCCCAGCAAAGGCCTCGATCTTCTTGGGCAGCAGCTGGCGCTGCTGGTCGCCGTGGCCCAGACGGCCAGTGCCTCCACCACCCCAGCTCCAGACGGCGCCGTCGGCCGTGATGGCGAGGCTATGGAAAAATCGAGCCGACACAGCGACGACGCGCCGGCCAGCCAAGGCCTCGACTTTCTTCGGCAGCAGCTGGTTCTGCTCATCGCCGTGGCCCAACCTGCCGAAGCCTCCACCGCCCCAGCTCCAGACGGCGCCGTCGGCGGTGAGGGCGAGGCCGTGCTCCCATCCAGCCGACACAGCGACGATGCGTTGGCAAGCAAAGGCCTCGACCTTCTTGGGCAGCAGCTGGCTCTGCTGGTCGCCGTGGCCCAGCCGGCCAGTGCCTCCACAGCCCCAGCTCCAGACGGCGCCATCGGCGGTGATGGCGAGGTTGTGGTGGGCCCCAGCCGACACGGCGACGACGCGCTGCCCAGCGAATGCCTCGACCTTCTTTGGCTGCTGCTGAGCCTGCTGGTCGCCATGGCCCAACATGCCCCAGTATCCACCGCCCCAGCTCCAGAGGGCGCCGTCGGCGGAGAGGGCGAGGCTGTGGTCAGTTCCAGCCGACACAGCAATGGCGCGCAGCGTCGAAGGGAGGCGGGTCGGCGTGTTGAGCCGCAGCACGCCCTCGCCGTGGCCGAGAAGGCCTGAACGCAACTCGTCGTCCTCCTCCTCGTCTCCTCGCCCTCCGCTGCCGTGCCGCACGACGAGAGCCGCCCCTCACCGTCGATGAAGAGGCTGTGGGATGAACCTGCCGCCGCCCTCGCCGGCGGGTTGGACTCGCGCAGCAGCGCCGAATAGCACAGCCACCGCACGGCGCAGCCCTCGCCCGCTGGCTGCGCCGGCAGCTCGTAATCGCGCTCTTGCGCCCACAAGCGGATGGCCTCCACCGCGAGCGAGGCGTGGAAGAGCAGCGAGACGGCCGCGGCGCGAGCGATGTCAAGGGGGCCGCCGAGGCGAGAGATGGCGCGCACGAGGAGCTCCGTGGGGAGGTCGAGGAGGCGGGCGGGCGGCGGCGCGTTTGGCGAGGGAGCGGCGGTGGAGGAGGCGGCGAGGCGGCGCGAGCGGCGGCGCGGCGCAGACATTGGCCGGGCGGTGTGAACACTGGGCCACAAATTGGGGGGGGGGGGGGGGGGTTCGGCGGCACCCTCGACCAAACCTTGCTCAAGGTTCTTGGGTGCAAAGAGCGCGGCCACAAGTCACAGGGCCCGCTTGTCCATGCGACCGGCAGAGGCTGGGTCAAAGAGCACAAGGGACAGTACTACGACGCGCTCCATGTCAAGAACGGAATCGTCAAAATTTGTCTCGTCGAAAGCCAGGGCGGCATCGCGCCGCCAACCAAGAGAACCATCTTCAACCTCGCCAAAGAGGTCGGCAGCCCGAGTGCCGTCGACCGCACCGACTACGGCACAGCCTCCGGCAGCGCCCGGGGCTTCGCCCAGCACCACTCGCAACAGCTCTCGCGCGCCGCCGTCTGTGGCGACGCGCAAAACATCAACAACGCTGCTCGCAACATGCGTGTCGCGCACTCATTCATGACCGGTCTCAATGTCCCACCCCCCTGCGCGCGGGCCTTCTAGGCCCGCGGGTAGTCTCCCCCCATTCCATGCCCCATTCCCAGGGCCTCCAGGGCTCGCATTCTTCTCATAACAAGGCTGTGAATCAACCTATCTGTGAAAAGGATGAAAAATCTGGACGGTTTCTCTTTTTCGGAGACGGTCTATGGGGCGGCGTCGGCGAGCGCGCCCCTCCGCCGGTTAGCGGTTTGTCGTCCAGCGAAGTCTGAATCCTTAACCCTCAGATTTTAGATTGGGACGCTGTGGGCCCTCTACTACTATGAAGATCCGCAGGGGCTGGAGCGAAAAAAAAGCCAAGAGACGGGTGGGAAAGCAAGCGAGAGTGCAACACATGGTACATGCCGGAATTAACACACATCTCCCTACACACGACACAGACTCAGAGCTCTCCATCTCTACCTGTGGCGGTTATACGTACAGTCCAGGACGTCAGTACTCACTCTGTCACGGAAACACGTGTCACAACTAGCGTTCCTGCGTCAGCTGCCTACTACTTCTGGGCCCTCGACCCCTGCGCCCGGCCAGTCGCAGCAGTCGCAGTCGGCAGTGCTGGGCTGTGCCGGTGCCTCAAGACCGAACGCGGCGGCATTGCGGACCAGGGCATCGGCGTCCGCCGACAGCGCTGCCGACATCCGCCGGCAGTCGTCCGCGAGAAAGGAGAGGGCTGCGCTGTCCGCCCCCGCCGCGCCGCCCGATGCGTCGTCGGGAGGGCCGCCCGCCGCGCCGCCCGCCGCGGGCGGCGAGTCGTGCAGCCGTGTCGTTGCGCGGGCGCCCATCCAGCTCAGCCTCGCGGCGCGCTGCTGTAGCTCGGCGGCGTGTTCGTCAAACTCGATCAGCGCGCGGCAGCGAGCGAGCAGCGCGGCGGCGAGAGAGGGGCCGAGGCCCGCACCGCCCGCCCCGTCCGCCCCGTCGTCAGAGCAGCTCGCTGCGCCCTCCTCGCCGGCGGCCCAAGCGGTGGCGGTGTCGGCGAGCCGCTGCGAGGGGTCTCGTAGCACCGCCAGCTCGGGCCACGTCTCGAGGAGGGCGGGGTCGGCAGCCTCGAGCTCGTCCCACACGACAGAGGCCCGCTGGAGGCGAGGCCGGCCCGCCGCCGCCAGCTCCGCGGCGAGCCAGCGGCGCGCGGGGGTCGAGAACCGCAGACCAAAGGGCACCGTTGGCGGCCCGTCTGCATCGCGTCCCTCGCCGCCGCCGCCGCCGTCCGGCTCGCGCAACGACGGCTCCGCGAGCAAGGCGTACAGCGCCAGCACCTCTGCGCGCGCGCGTGCGCGCCGCTCGAAAGAGTGCGGCGGAGAGACGTGCTCGGCGAGCGCGGCGGCAGACGCGTCGCGTGAGGCCGCCGCGGCGCAGACTGGGCACGGGGGCAGCGAGCCGAGCTCGCCGACGGTCGGCTGGCGCCGCTGCGAGGCGCCGCACGTGTCGGTGCGCCAGTGCAGCGCGGCCGCGGGGCCGCCGCTCCACACAAAGAGCGAATCGGCGGGCAGGTCGAGCGGCACGCCCAGAGGGAGGGACGGGGCGAGGGCGGCGCGGGGGAGGGCGCCGCTCGGGGGGCTGCCGCCGCCTGTACCACCGGGGGCGCCGTCGTGCGCGGCTGGCCACCCCTCGAGCAACGCCTCGATCCTCTCGGCGAAGCGCCGGTCGCCGCCGGCGAGGGTGAGCGAGAAGGTGCGCGTGTGAAGCAGCCGCCGCGCGCCGGGCGGGATCGACGCCAGCAGCGAGGCCAGCTCCGAGACAGCGCCGCTGAAGGCGGCGGCGTCGGCGAGCGGCACCTCGCCTGCCTCGCCGCCAACCTCGCCCAGCGCCCTCTCGGCCGCGGCGCCGCCCGCCTCCGCACCGCCCGCCTCCGCACCGCCCGCCTCCGCACCGCCCGCCTCCGCACCGCCCGCCGCGCGTGAGGCTGCGAGCGCCGCCTGGTACGGCCGCATCGCCTCGCGGCCGAGGAAGAGGAGCCAGTCCTCGGCGCAGGAGAGGCTCGCCTACGCTAAGGGAGGGCTCAGGGGAGGCCCCGGGGGAAGGCTCTGCTGGGCCTCCGGCGGCGGCGAGGGCGGCCTCGTAGGCGGCGCGGCCGTACGCGCGCACCGCCTCGTCTGGGTCCTGCAGCAGAGGGGGAGGGGGGGGGAAGCTCGGCGGTCGAAGGCCTCTGCGCTGAGGGCGTGAGCACCGCCTCGGCGCCTTGCATCCGGCGGGCAGCGACGCGACGCGTGTGGTTGCGCCGCGCGCGTCGAGCCTCTGCAGCGTGCCTCGCTGGGCGAGGCGGCGGACGGCGGCGCGGCCGGCCTCGTCGGCGTCGAGCGAGAGGAGCACGACGCGCGAGGGGGAGAGGCGGGCGGCCATCTCGAGCTGCGCCTCGGAGATGGCCGTGCCGAGGCACGCGACCACGTTCTCGACGCCCGCCGCGTGCAGCGCTATCGCGTCCATGTACCCTTCGACGAGCACGACCTGCTCACAGCTCTTCTGCGTCTCAGCCCGCAGCCCCTCCGCTTGTGGCGCATCTCCTCCGACCAGAGCACGACCGCGTCGGCGCGCCGCGCGGCGGACCGCGCGACGGGCAGCGCGTACAGCAGCTCCGACTTCTTGAACACGTCCGACTCGCGCGAGTTGAGGTACTTTGCTGCCACCCTCCCGCCGCCGCCGCCGCCGCCGCCCTCTCCCTCCGCCTCCTCCTCCCCCTCCACGAGTCGGGCGCCGAAGCCGACCACGTCGCCGGAGGAGGAGGAGATGGGGATGACGAGGCGGCCGGCGAACCGGTCGAAGAGCGAGCCGTCCGCCTCCCGCCGCACCGAGATGCCTGCCGAGGAGGGGGGGGGGGGGGGGGGGAGGGTGCGGGCGCGGGCTCGTGCGTGCGGCTGTATCTCGGCTATACCTCGCCCATCTCTCGGCCATCTCTCGGCTGTCTCATGCCTGCTGCGAGCAGCTCCTCCTCGGTGAAGCCGCGCGCACGCAGCGCCGCCGTGGCGCTGTCGGAGGGGCGGGAGGGCGCATACCCGAGGCGGAAGAGGGAGCACGTCTTGGCTCGGATCCCTCTCCGCCGCAGCATCGCGGCGCACTGCGCGGCGGACCGATCCCGCAGCGACACCTCGTACACCTCGGCTGCCGCGTCCAGCGCCTCGAGCAGCCGCTCCGCACCCGCGCCGCCAGCCTCACCGGCCGGCGCAGGCGCGCTCGCTGCGCCGGCCGCGCCGCCGCCTCTCCCGGCGACGGCGCCCGCCTCGCTCGGCCGGCGCCAGGCCGGCGCGGGCCCGGAGCCGGCCGGCGCTGGCGAGCGCTCGACGCCGTACTGCGCCGCGACCGCGGCGAGCGCCTCGCGGAACTCCATCCCTTCGGAGAGCATGAGGAAGCGAAAGACGTCTCCGCCCTCCTGGCAGCTGAAGCACTTCCAGTAGCCGGTCCGGTCGTCGATGCTCAGCGACGGCGTGCGCTCTTCGCCTCCCTTGTGGAACGGGCACCGCGCCTTGAAGGTCGGGCCGCTGGGGATGAGCTCGAGGCCCGTCGAGGCAATCACCTCGGAGAGCACCGCCGCCTCCTTGACCCGAGCAATGTAGTCGTCGGGCCGGCGGCGGAGCGGACCGCCTCCGCCGCCGCCGCCGCCACTGCTCTGGGAGCGATCGTAGGCGCCAGAGCCGCCGCCGTAGGCGCCCGCAGAGCGGACCTGGAGGAGCGGTGATGCAGCACAGCGACCCAGGCCCGCTCCGCGACGGCCCAGGCTGGAGGCGAGGCGCACGCGAGGACCCGACGACGCGCGTGAGCAGGCAGCGAGCATGATTAGCAAAGAGCACGCCACCCCCATCCGCCCTGGCGAGAGCCACGCCAGCTATTCACAGCACAAGCCCTCGCCGGGGGCTCGAGCATGCGCAGCGAAAAGCGGATCCCCCCTGTGAAAAAGTGAGGCGTGGTCTCTACTCGCCAGCCCATCCGCCTGAGCAAGCCAAGCGCGAAAGAGAAAGTATTACCGGGTATGCGGCCGTACTCGAGTAGTTTCACTCGGATTCACTCCTATGCACCTTCGGTGAGGGTAGATTGGCGCGTAAAAGGAGAGTCACGGAATCGCGCGCGCCTCCACCAGGAAGGGCTACGCAGTATCCCTGACATCCCCTGGGATCCTGCCACTGAAGGCGGACGGAGGGTTGGGACTCAAACGGCTTGGGTTGCTACAGGTACGGAGGGGACCTCAACGTCCTGTAGCCGCCCGCGGCGCCGTAAGGGATCGCACCTCGGACCAGATAGAGAGAACCACACCCCAAAGCCAGAGAGTAGGCAGGATAGGGTGGGTGGGGAGAAGAAAGAACTGGTGAAGCCGAAGGGCTGGCGCAGTAGGAAGGAGAGCCTGGCGCGGCCAAGGACGAGGAGCGGCGTCATGGCCAGGTGAGCAGGAGAGAGCAGCGGAAGCCGCGCTCATCAGAGCAGCGAGCGGGCGGGAGCGCCCGACACGCACGGAAGTTCAAACTTCCGTAAAAGATGAAGTAAAAGATGTCCACGGAGAGTCCGTGAAGGACGCAGAGGCAGAAGAAGAGGTAGGAGAGGAGAGGATCTCCGTGAGTCTCCTGCGGGAAAGTAGTGGCCTATCACGAGTTAGGGCCCCTACCCCAATCGTTATCGGCGAAAATTCAGAAAACCCCAGCGCCCTGTTTGTGTCTTGTGAGCCTGTTTGTGTCTGTGTGTCGCTCGTGCGTGTCGTCATCATCTGTCTAGCGTCCACCCATACCGCGTTGGTGTCCAGTTCGAGCCTGGCTGTTCTTCACCTTTCTACCTACCTACCTAGCGCCCCCCTCGCCCGCCTCATGATGAGCCAACGCCGCATCGCCGGGGGCTTAATAGAAAAAGAATTTCGCACATGGCACGCCTGCGGGTTAAACGGCTTAAACCGGGCCCGGGCCCATTTAAGGCTGCCTGGGCCGCCGATTCCTTAAACGGTCTTAAACGCTTAAACGGTGCGGGAGAGCTCCCGAGGTCGATGGTCCGGGAGGCTCCCGGTAGACGCCGGAGGCCGGGAAGCTGGCTACAGTCAGCTAGCACGCGTCTGCTATGCGAGTATGGCTCCTGCCAGTGCACCAGACTTACAGATGTGTCTTCAGAGGCGGGCTTGTGCGCCTAATAACGGCAGTATTGGAGAAAACGGCGCGGAACCCAGCGACGCGTGCCGGTGAGGCCGATTTTCTTAAACGGTCTTTTCTCGTGTATTCGGTTTTGCCTCCTGACTCTTAGCACTCACAACACTCTTAGCCGTGCGGGCCGCGGACCTCTCCTGCAAGAACGCAGCGGTCTTGGAGCTTCCCCCTCCCGTTCTTGCCGCATCCCATCCGTGGCGACGCGCTGTGGCATCGAGCCGTACTCGGCCGCGCCGCCGCGTCGAGGCGTGCTGGACCGAGACTAAGCAGCGACGCCGAAGCGTTTCAGACGCTGTGCTGCCTCATGACGGCCACCAAGTTGCACAGCGCGATCCGCAACCCCGATCCGCGGGTGCTGCTCGACAGGCTTTCAGAGCCTCCCACTGCCCCGGCGCCCACACCTCGATTCATCTCCATGGCGCCAGCCGCCACGCCCGCACGCGCCAGGCCGAAACAGCGCCGTCGGCGGTAATGGCGAGGCTGTGGCCTGCACTCGTTGCGGTGTGCTGTGTTGGGTGTTCTTGGAGTGTCCCTCTACCTACCTTAACCCTCGAAACTCCATACACACCCTCCCATCACCGAGCACACCACCGGCCCACTCGCATGCTCCGTGTCCTCTGTCGAAAAGCCCCCCCCTGTGCCCCGCGACGCGCGAGGCTCCACACGTCGCAAAAAGCGCCTCGCGCTCGGGGGAGCCCGTGTCCACGCGTGTCCGTCGCCTCGAGCCCTTCGACTCGCTTTCGTGCGCGATCGCGCGACTCTCAACGGCGGGGGCCGACTCAGAGCATCGCCGTGTATAGCTCCTCAAAGGTGAAGCCGGAGGTGGGGCTCGTCGGGTGGGCGGCAGCGGAGTCCTCGCCGCCCTCGCTCACGCGGCATGCCTGCTCCGGCTCCGCATCTGCCGCGGGCGCGGCGCGTCGGTCGGCCGGGGCGCCCGTAAAGAAGTCTGGCAGGTCTGCGTCGGGCTCCGTCTCCTCCATGCGAATCGGCGACGTCGCCTGGTCTCGTGAAGGGCCGGCCTCTGGGGGCACCGACATCGGACTCGCACCCACTTGAGGAATCGTCAGCGGGCTCGGCTCCACGCCGGCGAGTAGAGCGGCCGCCCGCATCACGTTTGGGCTAAACGCGTGGCAGGGGTGACAAGGCGTGAGGTGCGCTAGGGCCGGGGGGCGCCACGCGTCGGGGGCGCTGCCGCACCTGTCCGAGAGGGGAAGCTCGCGCCCGCCGATGGCGCGGCGCGCAGTCTTGGCTGGCGGCAGCGAGCGCATGATCGGCTCTTCTTGGACGAGACGAGTGAGGAGGAGCAGGTCTTCCGCCTACAGCTCGACGGGCGCTGGCTAATCCATCTCCGCGCGGCGCACGCGAAGGTTGCACACCGCGCCTCATCGTGCGCCGCTCCAAACCTCCCGGTCGGGCGATTGGGCAGAGGGACGGAGGTCGCCTATAAAGGGAGGTGCTTGGAAGCTGGTGCTCGCTGCGTGGAGTCTGCGGGCGCCTCGACACGATGCGTGGCCAGTGATTGCAGCGGGGAGAAGCCATCGTCATCGTGGAACGGATCCCCGCTCTGGACTTGGAAGAGGAACTGGTCGAGGGCAGTCGTGCCGAAGCTTCCGGCAGCGCTCAATCCGGCGAGACCGCCAAAGCTCGCTGGGCTTTCAAAGCTCGCGCCGGCAATGCCGTAGTCGATCGCTGAGCCACCCGCTCCGCCACCGAAGCTCGCTCCAGTACCGCCAAAGCTGGCCCCACTGCCAAAGTGCGCCGCCAGATCCGCGTCCTCACAGGAGGCAGCAACTGTCAATGCAGGCGAAGTCGACGGGCCAAGCTGGTGCAGACTCGCGAAGCTCGGGACGGTTGGGGCACCAGGCTCCGCCTGCTGGCCCGCCACGAGAGGGATGGCGTGCACGACCTGTGGGGCCGGCCGTGCCTCGCCCTGATCGCTGTAGCTGAGCACGAGCTGCGGCGCCTGCGGTCCGGTGGTTCGCATGCCGGAGCCGATGCTGCGCCACGGCGAAGGGGTGGACGGCACCCAAGGGTCCGTGACGATGCCGATGGCGTCCGGCGGACAGGAGAGGCAGTGCCACGCGTCGTCCCCGAGGTAGTGGAGCAGCAGCCGCTCCGAGCAAGCGCCGTCGAAGGGCGGGTCGCTGGCCGTCCAGAGATCGCTCAGCTGCAGCCACATCTCGTGCCGCACCAGGAGCTCCTGAGGCTGCGCCGCCGCCATCCGTTGGCGTGCGTTCCGGTTCTTGGCGGCCGCCTGCGCCTTGTACGCCTCCTTCTCGGCGCTCGGCATCGCCCGCCACATGCGGCCGACGATGGTCTTGTGGTCGAGCGCGGACGCCTGCGGATACTGCTGCTTCACCTCGTCGTTGACAGACCTCTGAAATTCGACAAAGGGGCGGATCTGCGGGCGCGCCGCCTCGGACTTGGTGCGCCGCGCACAGTAGTTGCGCACGAGCTCCGTCACGCCGTCGTGCAGCACCCGGCTCGAGGCGTTGGCGGCAGAGGACGGCACCCAGTCGAGGCCGTCGAGAAGGCGAGGCCGGCGCGCCTCGTGTCGTCGGCTCTCGAGGAACAGGTAGCCGAACTGCGGATCGCGCACCGCACCCGGCTGCAGGACGCGGAAGCCGCACTGCTCGGGGTTGCGCAGCAGGTTGGCGTCTGCGGCCGGCGGGGCTTGCGTAAAAGCGCCAGCGGCGTCGCGGGTCAGATGGGAGAGGGCGCGCGCGCACATGCTTCGTCGGAGAGCTGGTAGGGGATGACAGTGTAGGCTTTGGCAGCATCCATTTTTCTGATAGAGCTCTCTTTTTGGCCTTCGCCCGCAGCTCTCTCTGATTGTCCTCGAGTCGCCGTTCTCAAGGCGGCGGTACGTCTTCGGTCCCCGCGGGAGAAGCCCCGCGCATAGGACAAAACAACGTCTGTCCCACACACGCACAGACGCGCACATACATCATGCTCGGGCACCCCCCACAGTGTTAGTCGTGGGTGTGAGCACACAAGTACTACTCGACGGTAGCAGAGTGCACACCTGCCTTGGCGGTTGAGGGTCGTAAGAATCAAAGCCTCTTGGTGCCAAACGTGCTCAAGCGCGCCGAAGAGAGACGATCTACGCTGAGGGAGTTAGCGAAAGTCGCACGGGCAGAGGGGAGACCGAGGCCTCCGGCAGTCCGCACCGGCCACCGCCTCGCGAAAGGGAAGCAACGATCAACTCCAGCTTGGACTCTTGGGAGAGAGAGAGATGTTTTTGACTTGGGTGCCCACAGCGTGTTGTTCCCTGTTGCGTGCCAGCAGCAGCACTGTGCCCAGTCAGTATTGTGCGAAGAAGTTTTGTTGTTCTTGTAATATTCTACATGTTGTACGGAGGGGAAAGGCTTCGCCGGCCCATATTGCATATAAAGCCGTTCGGCCGTACGAAGTGGATTTCGAGAGGAGACCCACCCGCCGCGGCGCGCTCCTCCCGCAGCCGACAGCTCTCTGTCTCACGTCTCTCTCGCGAGGGAGCAAGAGAAGAAAGCGCTGCCGAGTGGGCCGTGCCCCGCCGCAGTGGCACGCCGCGCCACCGCCAGCTCCAGCCCGCCAGGGAGGCTGCCGCAGAGCGGCAGAGGGGCGCGCGATAGAACGAGAGAGGGGGAGAGCGCAGAGGCCAGAGCGCGGTGGGCGCGTGGGCGCGCGCCGGAACTCGCGAGGCAGACTCGAGGCTACGCCGACGGATCCCGCAGCCGCCAGCCGCGGAGAGCTGATTGGGCGGCTTCTTCTTTTACTTCGGCGGGGGGCACTCAGAGTATAGGGGCTTGGGCCTGTACAACTCGAAGAGTCAGAGTGTCGGCGCGATCGGGGCAGGTCCGCACCCACTCAAAGAGCGCCCAATCCGTCACACAACTGTGTCGAATCGCGGAGAGAGCGCGCGCCCCACACAACGACGCGTGGGCTTCCCCCGCCCAGCGGGGTGCGCGCCGTGTTCTCGCCGCCTCCCAGCTCTAGCTGACCTCGTCCGCCTCAAACTCCTCCTCCTCCTCCGTGTCCTCCTGCAGCTCGTCATCCATCTCCTCCTCCTCGTCCTGCGCGCGGGCGGGCGGGCGTGGGCGGTCGGAGGCCTGTGTGTCGGGCGGCGCCGGGGCTGGCGAGCCCCCACCTCGTCGGGCACTTCGGCGTCCACGGCAGGGTCGTCGTCGGCCGGCGCGATGTTGCTGGCGCGCCCCTCGCGGCCCAGCACGGGAAGGTCGGCGTTAAAGGATTTGATCGCATTGAGCTGCGCGCGCGATGTGCGGGACGGGAGGAGTGAGCGCGTGCCGCGGACGAGGCGGGGGTCGAGCGGTCTGTGCAGCGGTGAGAGGCCTGCGCGTCGAGCGCCGCCTCCCAAAGCGCGATCTGCGCCTCCGCGGCGGAGAGGTTGCGCCAGCTGGCCTCCGCGCCGCAAGGGTGCAGCCGCGGCTGTGCGGAGAGGCTAGACAGCATGCACGAGGACGTGCGGCAGCAGCTGCGTACGCGGAGTTCACCGCGCGCGGCGCTGCGCGGTTTGTAAAGGCCGAGGAAGAAATCTCGTTGCCGAGGAAAAGAATGTATGTTGTTTATTTGACATGTATGTTCTTTATATGACAGTTTTAATACGTTAGCGCGCTGTTTCTAACACAGGCACGAGATGACTGCTCTATTTATTTATTTATTAACACAGGTACACCACGGGAGCCGCCTAACCGACTCCTGCGAGGACGGCGAGGCACTTAGCTCCGTGCACTCGACCGCCCTCGCCGCAGGCAAGCTCATTCACAATCTGCTCTGCGATGGCCGTGTGAAGAACGACTGAGATACGCTGCTTCTGCAGCCCCAGCCAGCTCTTGGTGGTCCATGTCACCTCATCGAGGTACTGGGCCCGCGTCAGCTTGTTCTGCAGCACGTTCGCCGCCTTCCAGCGGGATCTCGCCGACCCCCTTCCCGAACCCACCGAACGACTCGAACAACAGCAGCTGCACGTCGACGTCCTTGTCCTCCCTGGCGTAGCGATACTCGCCGCCATAGGACGGTATGCGGCGATCGCCGCCCACCACCCTGCCCCCCCTGGTATGCCAGCGCCCGGTCCCTTGCCCTCTCTCGCCCTTGCTCTTCCTCTCCCCCTCCATGCCCTCGCCCCCGTACGCCGTACCCCTCACACTCCCCTCCCCCCCCCTCCCCCTCCCCCTCACCTCCCTCTCCCTCCTCGCAGTAGGGCCCATGCCCCACGACCATGTTCAGGTAGAACGCCTCGGTGTTGCCGAAAGCGACAAAAGCGCCCTTCCGACCGTGCTCCCCGCTGCTGGTGAGGGGGCAGACGACCTTGACATCGCCGGAATAGCGCTTGCCGCCCGTGCCAATGTTGCACGCGTCCACGTCGGCTTGCTTGTTGTAACTATGACCGAGGTGGTTCGTCGGCTCCATTCGCACAGCTGTGCCCCACGCGGCGCGGGCGAGGATGAGGCGCTGAAGAGTGCACTTGTGTTTGATGTTGTGGCCCTGCTGCGGAACGTTGACAGCAGCGTCGCCGAACTCGTCGTGGTACTTCTTGTTTCGAGTCTTCTTGCCCACCGACACGGCCTGGCAAGCCACGTCGAGGGGGAGACCCAGGCGGCGCTGCACCGAGATCCGCATCGCCCAGGTCTCCATTCGCATGTCATCCCGCATGGGGATGGCGTTGAGGAAGGCGCCGGCGCCATCCTGGCTCACCGCCACGAAGCGGACCGCCTCCCGCCAGGCCGCGTGCCTCGCCCGCTCCCTGCCCTCGGCACGCGCCTTGCCCCTCTTGCCACGAGGAGCAGACCGCGATCCCGCGGAGCCCTCCTCGGCGAGCTCCACGGCGAGGTCGCGCCAGTTCCTGTTGTGGACCACCGTCGTGAAGCGCCGCTGCGCTTGGTGCAGGAACTCGTTCTTGGACGTGAACTCGGCGAGGGTCAGCAGCTCCTTGGCCGGGACGAGAGTATGCGGCCGGAAGCGCGAGAGGGCCACCCTCGTAGCCGGCTCCGGTGGCCGCGCGGAGGCGCGCAGCTTCTCGCCCTCGTCGGGCTCGTCCCACGGCTCCACCTCGACGTCCGGGGGCCTGCCCGTCGTACCGCCAACCAGGTCAAAGTACTCCGCCTTCGTCTTGGCGTCCCACTCCCCCCACGTCGCCGTGATCTTGCCGTGCTCCTCCTTGAGCTTGGCGTGCGCCGCTCGCAGCTCGTCGAAGTCGGAGCCCTGCGCCTCGTTCACGTCGAGGTCTCGGAAAAAGGGGCATGCAGCTGGCGCATGGGCCCGGCGACGAGCGCCCACGTGCCAATCCACGCCGGCTCGCGGAAAATAAATTTAGGCGAAAGAATTTTTCCCGCTGAAAAGAATTTTCGAAATTGAAGAGGACCGGGCGGCTCACACATAATGACACTCATAAAGCTCTCACCCCCGAGTTGCTTGCGTATGTCCTGTGCCATCCTGCCATCTCTCACCGGGCGCGCGTCGGCCCGTCAAGCGAACTGAGGAGCACCTAACAAGTCTCTCTCATCTACCGTCCCGGCCCAAGCTTGTAGTACTTCTCGTCGATCGTCGTTTGCGATGGGGGCGGGTTGCCCGCCAGCGTCTGCCAGTAGACGTCCTGCATCAGCAAGTGGTCGCCCTCCATGCAGAAGTCCGCCTAATTTGCTGCGTGATCACTCTGCTACGCTGAAGCCTGAGCTTGCAGCGATGCTCGATGTGCGTGTGCTGGTGCGTACAACGTACGCCCTTGAGGGTGATCGGTTGGAGATTCTCTTGGTTCCTCGGCGCGTTGAGGAGCTGCGTGCTCTGGGCCGCGCACTCGCCGCCAACCAAGACGGCGTGCTGCCGAATGTGGACGCTGTACTGCGTGCCAAACTCTGATGATGCCATCTCGGGGTGGGTACGGGCAGCACAGATTGTCTTTGCCATCTCTCCCAACTCGGCATCGTGTGAGCGCGTCTTTGCGCTCCTTAATTAAGACGATGTTCGTTCGGGGATCTGCAGGTGAGTACGCTCGCAGATTACATTCAGGCAGCACTCATGTTGCGCTACAACGACCGCAAGATCGGCTGAGCGGAGTGAGCTCGAGGGGACCGAATCGGATATAGTTTTGTGTGATGAGTAAGTGTGACCCACATGATGTATGTCGAGGCTGCATGTGGTGAAGAGTGTTGCGCCGTGAGAGACTTTCACAGCAGCGATAACACGATTGACGTTCTCATAATTGAACAATGTACGTAAGAGCTACATACAAAAAAAAACAAGATATCTCACAATTGATTACGTAATTGATCGAGCGTGACTCCCTTATTCGACGACACTACAGGGCCCTGGTCCTTTATCCTTGTCGGCGACACGACCGGCCCTGGGCAACATGCCGCGAGATGCGTCTGCCGCTGGGCTCCGCCTCGCCGCCAGCGCCGCTCGTTCCGGCCTGCTCGGTGCGCTGCTTCACGAATGGGTGCTCCTTCCCTACTGCCAACGCTTCGTTGAGTTCGCCAGCGCCGCTCGCTCCGGCCTGCTCGGTGCGCTGCTTCACGAGTGGGTGCTCCTGCCCTACTGCCAACACTTCGTTGAGTTGCGCGATGTGCAGCAAGTCTGGCAGAGCGGGAAGGAGATGTGTGGCGAGTGGTGGATCAGTGTCGAGGTCGGCTTCCTCATCGCCATTGCTCACAGCGTCCTCTACTTTGGCGTGGCTGGGCTGTTCTTCCACGTGATCTGCGATATGATCGGCTGCTCGCGGCACGAGCGGAGCGCAGGCGCCGACGCGGCCCACCCCTCAGTTTGGAAGGTCGTCTCCGCATGGTGCTGGAGCAGCTACATTGTCCAGCCGCTCGAACTCCTCTTCATTGTCCCACTCATGCTGCTCGCCGGGATGAAAGCGCAGCTCGACGCCACCACTGGTTTCTGGTGGGTGGCGTGGCAGGTGGCGTGGCAGATGGTCTTGCACGACGCGATCTTTTACCACTGCCATCGCCTACTGCACACACGGGCGTTCTACCGCTGGCACAAGGATCACCACTCTGTCGTTGGCAGCTACGCCCTCGCCGCAGAGTACGCCAGCGACGCCGAGAGCTTCCTCGGTCACAACCTCCCTGTCTTTGTACCCGCGATGCTGCTGAGCCTTCTTGGCGATTGCGTCTCCTTTGCCGCCTTCCTCTCGTGGATCAGCGTGCGCCTGATACACTCCTACGCCATCCACTCGGGGTACGAGCTGCCGTGGCTGGTGGGCGCCCTGATGATGCAGAGCTCCGGCGCCGACGCACACCACGAGAATCATCATACGAAAAACAACGGCAACTTTGGCGACTCCCCGCTCTGGGACATTCTGATGGGCACTTGCAACCCGGGGTGGGCGAGTGCGGCGGGCGTGGGCATCGACGCGTGCCGCGCGGCACCATCCGTGTGCCACGCGCGCCTCCGCAGCCGCTGCTCCTCGGCCAAGCGGCTCTGGGGGCGGGTGCGCATGACACTCCGCAAGGAGTTCAAGGTTTCGGGCGACCGCTACCAGCGGTTCCGCGCGATGTCTGTCGAGTGCCTCTTGGCAGAAGCACCGTCCGCTGCCGCCCTCCCCTCGCCCCCCGACCTCTCCTCGCCAGTCTCCGCGGAGTCGCCCGTCTCGGTGATTGATGGCCTCAGTGGCCGAACAGGACGGCGCGTCGCCTTTGCTGAGAAGCCCATCCTCATCGAGGCCGACAGCCGGCCCAACGCACCCGACGGCTCCGCGCGCGGCAAGCCTGCCAGCACACCCGACAGCTCCGCGCGCGGCAAGCCTGCCAGCACACCCGACAGCTCCGCGCGCGGCAAGCCTGCCAGCACACCCGACGGCTCCGCGCGCGACAAGCCTACCAGCGCGGCTTGGCGGGGCGGGGCGCTGGCAGCCGTGGTGGCGGCGCTGCTCGTGGCGGGAGCCTTCCGGTCCACCCTCCCCCACGGGCAGTCCGCCTATCCCATCCGGCGACTCTTCCCAGAGGAGGCGGAGGCGTGCGCGAGCCGCGGCTTCGTCGCGATCGTCGGCGCCGGCCCCGCCGGCCTCGCCACCGCTGCGCGGCTGCAGCAGGCAAGGGTCCCCTTTGTGGTCTTCGAGCGTGAGGTGACGGCAGGGCACTCGTGGCGCACACGCTACCCGCGTCTGCATCTTCACACCGTCGGCGCCTCCTCTCAACTGCCCGGCTGGCCTTTCCCCGACCACTTTCCGGAGTACGTCTCTGCGTCCGACCTCGCCGCCTACTACGACGGCTATGCCCGCACCGTCCTCGCGCCGCACGTGCGCTACAACGCGACCGTCACCTCCGCCAAGCCGGCGGCCGACGGTAAAGGCTGGTCGCTCCGCGTGTCGATCCGCACCGCCGACGGGGCCGTGCAGTGGCGGCGGTACGAGGCGGCCGCGCTGGTAGTGGCGACGGGACAGGAGGGAGCGCCCGTCATCCCCCCAATCGAGGGGCGGGAGAGCTTCGAAGGCGAGTCGATGCACTCGGCGGCCTGGCGAGGTGGCGCGAAGTACGCGGGCAAGAAGGCGCTGGTGGTCGGGTTTGGCAATTCGGGAGCGGAGGTTGCGCTGGACTTGTGGGAGCAGGGCGCGGCCGGCGTCACGGTGACGGCGCGCTCGCCGATCCATGTCCTCCCACGCTGGCTCTTTTCGCTCTACCCTCACGGCATGCGCTCCCTCCTCTACTTTGAGCGCTTCCTTGCGCCCATCTGGCTGAGCGACGCCGTCGGCGGCCTGCTCCAGCGGCTGCTCTACTCGGACCTGCCCTCCGCCGGGCTCCAGCTTAGCCGCGCCGGAGTCAAGAGCGAGCTGCTGCGGCACCACAGGGCGCCACTGCTCGACATTGGCACCATCGAGCTCGTGCGGCGCGGCGAGATCAGCGTCGAGGGTCGACGGCTCGCTCGGCTCACCCGCCGCGGTGCGCTCCTCTGTGAGACCACGACGCCGGCCGACGGCGCCGAGGGCACGGCCGAGGTCTGCGAAGAGGCGCCGTACGACCTCGTCGTTTTTGCGACGGGCTACTCCAAGGCGAGCGCCGCCGCGCCGCACGCGCGCTTCCTGCCGGCTGACCTGCTGCCACGGCTCGCCTCCGCGTGGGGGCAGATCGAGAGCGGGCGCGAGGTGGCGCCGGCGCTGTGGTTTGCTGGCTTCTCCGACATCGTCGGCCGGCTCGCAGAGATCAACTGGGAGGCGGCGGCGATCGCCAAGGCCATCGCCAAGGACCACGTCGAGCCGCAGCCGGCGGCAGCTCCGGCGCGGAGCTACGCGAGCCTGCACCGCGCCGCGTGGACGCCCGCCGTGTGCGACGAACCGGCGCGTGAGGGCGAGCGGGTCGAGGCGGGGGAGAGGGGAGGCTCCTAGTCCGACCCGGGCTGCCGCCCCGTTGGCTGATTTGTTGTTTGTGTGCGCGTCTAGTGTCTCCGAAATCGCGGAAAGAGTGCATTGTTTTCACTTGAGGGCATTTTAGTAGATTCGATTGAAACGTGCTGTGCGACCTGGGATCGTAAAATTCTTCGGGTGGCACTTGGAGGAGCACTTTAGCCCTAGTCTGGCCGGTTTCTTTGTCAGATCGTGATCGACACGAAATAGAACGAGATAGAATGAGATAGAACGAGATCGCCAGATAGCGCCAGATAGCGCCAGATAGCGCGCCAGATAGCGCCAGAGATAGCGCCAGATAGCGCCAGATATAGCCCCCCCCCCCCCCCCCGCCGCTGCGGCGGGCGCCCTCTCTTCCCGCGCGCACGCCGGTTGATCGGCTAGTGGAGCGGCGTCTGAACGCGAGATACGACTACTCGGAGTACTGTACGTCTCTTCGTTTTGTCGAGATGCGCGCGCAGCGCGAAGAAGAAAAGAAAAAACGGGACGTGAATAGGCGAGATCGCCGCGAGATCGCACGAGATAGCGCGTCAATCTGACGAAAAGAAACCGGCATAACCAGGGATTGGAGAGTGCAGTCATCAACCTCGCATCCAGGGCCGGGGAGCTAGGAAGCGCACCCAGTCGGCCGGATGATCGGTCGGCATCGGGCTGCGGCCTGCGGGCTAGATAGAGAGCCCTTACCCTCACTACGGCAATATTCTCGCGTAGCGAAATTCTTTTCATGTGTTAGTGCCAGTGCGCGCCAGTCCCGTGCCCAGTGTTGTGCGAGGGAGTTTTCTTGTAAAATTCTTTTCATAAATAAATAAATAAAACGGACACACCAAACAAGGGGTGGGAGAAGGACAGGGTCCCCACCTGCACGAGCAGGATCTTGTAAGGACGATCAGGGACACAGGGGAACGGGAGCGGGGAGCGCATCGCGACACGGAGGGGGGCTGGGCAGGGTTCACCCACACGACAGGGTCCCAGGGATTCCTCTCTCGTATAGGACGGGTTGCACCCGGCGGCACGGGGGCAGGCGCGGGCCTCCTACTGCGTACTGGTTGCGCTCTCCTAGTTCTCCCCTGCTCCTGACAAGGGACAGCGACAGGCTCGCAGCACGGTGGACTCCCTATTCCACTGGCGATCTCTCTCGACTAGCGACCTTCCTCCGGCTTCTCACCAGCAGTCTCTCACTACCACGGGCACACTGACAGAGGCGGCCAAAAGGCTCACGTGGGTGGCAGGGCGGTGATAGGAGTCTCCCACTCTGTGGGCTTCGCTAGAGGTGCGGCCCCTGCGCGTGTCCTCGTGGTTTGAAGGGGAAGGGGAAGGGGCTGTGTGTCTGTCTCTCTCTCTCTCTCTCTCTCTCTCTCTCTCTCTCTCTCTCTCTGTGTGTGTGTGTGTGTGTGTGTGTGTGTGTGTGTGTGTGTGTCTGTCTGCGGGCGCTGTGCGAGCCGCCCTGAACGACCACAATGTTGAGCGCGCTCGAGCACCGAAGCACCGCGAGCGCCGGCGAGCACCACCGCCCCGCGCCTTGGCGTGGGTCGGTAGTACACGATGCGGCGCCAATTTCAGAAAGAAAGAAAGAAAACGGACAGCCCAAGGGAGGGATGGGAGGACGGCACGCCGCCACCACACAGGGATTTTAAGGAGAGAGGTGTGGTGCGCTAGCCGTCGCCCACCCTTGGGCGTCCGCCTCTTCCTATCTCTCTTCGCAGCCTCTCGCCGATTCCTCGCTGCGACCTTCATGCCACCTCGCGGTCGCCCCCTTCTCGTCGTTCTTTACCTTCTCTCTTCTTCTTCTGTCGCGTCGCTCTCCTCTGCTTCGTTCTGCGGCGCCGCCGCCTCCTGCCGGTCCCTTGCTCTCGCGGCTTCTTGCGCCTTTCGGCGCAGCTCCGCCCTCCTCGCTGCATATCCTGGCCCCTCGAGTCTATCGAGCTCTCCTCGAGCAAGCGCCAATTTCAGTTGCGCGCGCATCGTAAAATTCTTTTCAGAGAAGCCCAACAACCGCTCGCGGTGGCCGCTTCGATGCCGGCCGCCAGGACGAGCGCAGGCCGGCCGGGCCAGCCGATCCAGGCGGAGAACGGCGTTTTGCGCTCAATCACGCTCACGAATTTCAAAGCCCATTCGCACTTCCACCTCGACTTCAATCCGCACGTCAACTTCATCGTCGGAAGCAATGGCACCGGCAAGAGCGCCATCCTCGCGGGCGTGATCCAGGCGCTGGGAGGGAACCCAAACAAGCACTCTGGCACGGCGGGCGGCGCCCGGGCGGCGCAGGGCCTGATTCAGGACGGCAAGGACTACGCGAGCGTCGTGCTCGTGCTGTACAACGGGTCGGACGACCCGTGGGAGACGCAGCGCGCGTCGACCCAGACCCAGGCGCGCCTCGAGGAGGAGCGCAACGTGACGGTGACGAGCGAGCTCACCCGCCTTGCCGGCAACAAGACCAGCTCGCGCTACAAGATCAACGGCGTGGCCGCCACCCGCAAGCAGGTGTGCACCCCCGCCCCTTTGCCCGCCGCCGCCCTCGCCGCCAGCCCTCTCCGCGCCCGGGACAGGTCGCGGCGCTCGCCGAGCACTTCAACCTGCAAGTCGAGAACCCGTGCGCCGTCCTGACCCAAGCCGTCCACGCAAACTTCCTGCGCGAGACGTCGGGCGGGAAGCGGCGGTACGACTTCTTCCTGGCGGCGTGCAACGCGGACATAGTGCGCGAGCGGCTGCTCGCGGCGAGGGACGAGTACAAGGGCATCGCCACCTCGCTCGAGAAGCACGAGGAGCGTGGCGCGCCGCTCGCCGACCGGGTCGCCTCGACCTCAAAGCTCGTGGCAGAGGCGCGGCGCCGCCCTCCCAGCCCCTCCCCACCCCCGTTGCTCCGACCTTCCTCCTCCGATCCTTCCTCCTTCGGTCCTTCCTCGTCCGCGGCGGAGCCCTCGCGCCGCCTCCGCCGCACCCCTCCACCCTCCACCCTCCACCCAGTGATCCACCACCCCACCCCCCCACCCCACCCCCACCCCGCGGG